AATCGTAAAAATATCATACTTTCGTCCTGAATATCGAGAAAACACTTCATACAGTGATTATTGGACCTTTAAAGTGTATTCTTAGGAAGTTTCAGCTGAATCCAAGTTTGAGCGATTTTCGTCGTAGTAGCACTTTAATATTTGAATACATTTATGGTTGCGAAAAAAAATTAATTACCACGATACTTAAACGCCTTATCAAAAGCGAGGAATTTTCAAAAACAATTCTTAGCAATGTGCTAACTAAAATAAAAGGTCGATATAAAGAAAACGAAAAGTTGAAATAATGTCCCATTCGTAACTAAAGGGATTTTTTTGGGTTTTTGTTCTGCGACAAGTAATAAACATTTAAAGTTGGAGAAACTTGCTATACTTTACAATTTTGTTTTTCTCATTTTTCTTGGAAATAAAGCGATATTTCGAAAAACGAAGTATACCACGATACGTTATACTTGAATATGAGCGAAATCGATTTTTTGGTTGTTGCCGCCAAATTTCGATTTGTTTGATTTTTGCTGACATCTTCTCTTAAATTGATTTGAGTTAAATGCTACTAGTTGATCTCATGGTGGAATTATAGTTCAATTAACCTAAGAAATCTACATTGTACTCAGCCCCTGCTAAGAAAACGCTAACCAAAAATATTTGACACATAATCTCTTTCCAGTGTACAAAGTATGACCAGAAAGTACTATTACTACTTTGTCAGTAAAATTCCTACGTCAAGCTGTCAAGTGTTGTTTTCATTTTGACCRTCTTTACATCTGAACAATTTTCTTAGTATCTGAACACAGGCTTCTCGATTGTCCTTCATTCTTGTCAGATAAATAACAGGATTCAGAGTCGAGTTTACAAAAACAATACTCATTAGTCCCCAGATCATATAATCTCTATCAAAACTATCTGGGTGTAACAATATTGAAAATATTCCCAAAAGGGGCATATAGCAAACGATAATAAGCACCACTATCAACAACATTGTCTTCACTAGCTTTTCGTACTTGTGAACATCGATAACATTGGACTGTGTTGAACTGTTTGGTTGTTGGTTGCCTTGTGGTTGGGTCTGAGCACAGTGGATCTTCAGGGCTTCTCTGCTTTTTTAATACAGCAATATGTAACATGTACCTCAAAAGTCTTTTAACTATATGGAGCTACCTTAAATATAGAGTTTCGCGCTCTGTTATTGATCGAGCGACAGGCAGTGTTTATGAGACTATTCACTGCTCGAGCGGTGTCTGAGATTTGCCTAAGGCTCAGTGAACATGCGAAGACTCGCTGCTCCGTACAAATTCTCCAACCATTCAATTATCGTCAAATAGTCCGAAGTTCTTGACCAATCAGCACAAACATGCTGCGCTGTATTTCATTTATTGAATTTCGCTTTTTGGATAGATACTTTATTTTTTGACATTACAGCTCGAGATAAACCTGAATTACGTTAAGATTACAATATGCACTTAAATATATGTAAAAGAATAAAGTGAAGCATTATTTTCTAAAACAGTGAAAATACTAACTACCAAGCCATGTTGAAAACTTCAATTTCAGTTATTTTCCCAATCGCTTAATTAACCGTAGTGAAAAATTCATGATACATATTCAATACTTTGGGATAAAAGCAAATCAACACTTTTTTGACACAAAATAGTTTTGAGGATATTTGTCCATCGTTACTATGGTAACGACTCAAATAAAATGAGCATCTGGTATGAAAATCTGATCAATCTAGTTTTGCCTTACACTAATAATTATATCGATTTCCGTTATATATAAACTATGGCCACAAACTACTAGGAACCATGTTAAGTCCGTCAGTAAAATTCCTACTTCAAGCTTCCATCATTCAATCAGCCTACATGCATCTGAACAATTTTCTTAGTATCTGAACACAGGCTTCTCGAATGTCCTTCATTCTCGTCACATAAATAACAGGATTCAGAGTAGAGTTTGCACACACAATACTCATCATTCCCCACATGATATGATACTTATCGTGATAAGCTGGGTGTAACATTATTGCAAGTAGTCCGAAAATAGGAAGGTAACAGACTAAGATCACCACCACTATTATTATCATTGTCTTCAGTAGCTTTCTGTACTTAAGAACATCGATGGCATTGGACTGTGTTGTACTGTTGGGTTGTTGGTTACCCTGTGGTTGGGTCTGAGCACAGTGGATCTTCAGGGCTCTGAACGACATCGTGTAGAATACCACGATCACCACTAAGCATACTGTTAGACCGACTACACCAAGCTCCGCATTTCGCATGTCAAAAATACCAGTTACTATCGTTACGAGAGGAGCAACCCAAGAAAAAACACAGAAGAAGCTCACTCTTCTAAGTGTGACAACAGATCTGTACCTCATCTTGAGTCGTATGGCCATGAACCTGTCGACACTGATGGCGGTTATGGTCAACACTGATACACAGCTCAACTGCGATGCAACAACAATTACTGATAGTAATAAGAAGATACTAAATTCAACGTCTTCAAACAGTTTCATGATTATTATTACGGCAAAACCTGGTTGGCAAAATAGTCCCACTCCAAGATCACTAAGCGCGAGGTTAGCCAGTAAAAGATACGACGGTTTTCGTAAAGAAGACGTCGTCAGAATGGCCACGATAACCAGAGCATTAGCAGCAGCTGTTGGTACAGCTAAGATAAAGTTGATGATCACTGAGAACATCAAACCGTTCATCCTTGGCGTGAATGTGATGTAGTTAACGTTGTTACTTCGTTTACAGAGAAATGAGAATTTCCCTTTTGTTTGTCTTCGTTTTCAAGACATTCGGGGCTAGAGAAAAAAGGTTTCTCGCCGTACAGGCGCAGAGGACTTCTTGAATTAGCATAACACTTAACACAGATTTATATATCGCGCTAAGTTAAACTCCGCTAATTTCTTTTGAAACATCAAGTTATTGGCTAGCTCTACGAGCAGGTGAACCAGTAGGCCGTCTCTTAAGAATTTTTGCGGGCAAATGTGAAGTAAATGTCAATTTCCTGAAACTTTGCCAATTAATTGAACAACTTAAAGCAAACAAAGTCTCGAGAATGAATATAGCTACTGAACAGCTATGATTCTTAAACCGCTAAGGATTATGAGTAAATACATTATCTAGATCTTTTCCCAGTTATAGTTTGACCTCCTGTAAGCATCCTCAAGCTGCAGTTTGTATCTAAAAGCTTTTCACAACTTTGATAGAACTGGTTTTCGATTTTGAGCCGGCACGGTTAACGTCACACTTAAAAACTCGGCTGGGACACAAGTGAACATCTGCGCACATGCAAATTAGTCGAAACGCCTTCATGCTATTGTAAAAATATGTAAATTGGACTTTCAAACGTGCCTAAAAAATTGGAATCAGTCAGGAAGCTATTCTTCGCGAATGTCTCGCAGATTACAGTTTGTATGCGAGATAAATTAGTTTCAAATTACTTTTTTGTACCATTGCAAGATTTGACTGATTTTCTGAAAGGTTTCTGTCGCTTTTCGTCTTATCAGTTCGTCTTAGCCAAATATTTTCGTAACTTTACTTTTACTTTATTTGTAATATTAAACAAAAACAAAACAAAACAAAACGAAAAAAAAAAAAAAAATTGTGCAAACGCATGTCATTCAGGAGTGATTATCTCAAAAACAAGCCAAAGTAGTCAGCCACATTGAAATCGGTTCTTTTGACTTATAAGCAGATGACCGGTGATATTTGCATAACAAGGGGCCTCCTAAAAGTCATAGACAACTGATAATTGAAAGGAAAATTGAAAGGAAAATAGCGGGAATGTATGAAACTTGGATATGGTAATCGTAATGTGTACGGTTTTTTTTTTTATCTCGGTCACTATAGCAACGTTTCTATCAAACTCTAGATAAGTTGATACAAGATAAGATAAGCGCTCAGTCCTCTTTCTGCATCTGCAAATCAACTGAAAAGCGCCGCTACTACATTAGCTATGAATCGAACCACAGAATGCACATCACATTGTACGCCAAGGATGGTCGGTTTGATGTTCGTCGTGATCACCGACTTTCTCTTAGCTGTACCAACAGCTGCTGCTAATGCTCTGGTTATCGTGGCCATTCTGACGACATCTTCTTTACAAACACCGTCGTATCTCTTACTGGCCAACCTCGCCTTTAGTGATCTTGCAGTAGGACTATTTTGTCAACCAGGTTTTGCTGTTTTAGTGCTCATGAAACTGTTTGAGAACATTCAATTTAATCACAGCTTCTTGTTATCAGTAATTATTGTTTCATCTCTGTTGAGCTGTGTATCAGTGATGACCATAACAGCAATCAGTGTGGACAGGTACTTGGCCATACGACTCAAGATGCGCTACAGATCTGTTGTCACACTACGAAGAGTGAGGTTGTTCTGTGTCTTTTCTTGGGTTAGTACTCCTGTCGCGACTTTTGTGATGATTTTACTAAGCATACCTTCCTTAGATGGCATATTGGGTGTAATCGCTGTTACAGGATGCTTGGCGGTGATTGTGGTATCCTACACGATGTCGTTCAGAGCCCTTAAGATCCACTGTGTTCAGACCCAACCGCAGAGTAACCAACCACCCAACACTACACCACAGTCCAATGCCATCGATGTTGTCAGGTACAAAAAGCTCTTGAAGACTATGGTACTGATAGTGGTGGTCATTCTTATTTGTTACCTGCCGATGCTCGGAGTACTGGCTTTGTTTGTACAAGCTGATCCCGACAACTTGGTTGTAATATGGGGACTGATGAGTATTGTGTGTGTGTAAACTCGACTCTGAATCCTGTTATTTATCTGACAAGAATGAAGGACATTCGAGAAGCCTGTGTTCAGATACTAAGAAAACTGTTCAGATGCATGCAGACTGATTGAATGATAGTCAAGATGAAAACACCAATGTTACCGGAGTTTGCATTGCTACGCGGCCAACCCAGACAAAAATCGCGATGTGCACTTTGCAATAGACTGCCGTCAATCAAACACGTTGACGCCATTTACACGCGTGTGTGATTCAAAAGGCGCCAAAACTTGTCGATTGTTTACAAGTATTATGAGCCAAACTCACTGGGCCTATCCGGGCCGATCCAAACGCGTGTAAATAACGTCAACTTCTATTATTATTATTATCAGCAGCAAACACGTTTGAATGCTAATTAGGTAAGCTAGATAGGGCGTAATTTCGTAACCTACCAGCATGACAGGACTAATAATATATACAATCACTTAAAACCAATTATTAATGTTCTTAAGATGCAGTTTAAATACTTAGAATGTTTGAAATGTCCTTAAGATGTGATTAATTTAAATGTTCTTGCAATGTTCACTGTGCAGCTTAATATCGCTTTCTGCATTCTAAGTAATACTTCTTTGTATCTTGCTCCAAAGATATTCTTCATCTCAGGCTCCATCTCTTTAGACCATCCTCCAAGAGCGTCCAAAATGAGGTTATTATTATTATGGCAAGTTTTATTTGTCTGTATATATCATGTTTACATTGA